AGTCCCGAATCAGTCGGTACATTTTTCGACTGCTGTTTTAGTCGTGATGTGCAATCGCTAAATCTCTGTTTTCTTGTAGTGTTAAGGACACAGAAGAGAGGCTGGTGAGAATTTACGAGTCCACCGAGAAAATACGCCGTGGATGAGGAGAGCGTTACAACCAGGGCTGGCCCAATAACTTTGGCTGCTTAAAGCAAAAAAAATTATTTAAGCCCATATATAAAAAGATGTAAAAAATGTCACATAATAGCAGATTCGGGCTTCGAACTCTGATACCAAATACTCATAGTTATAATACTCAGCCACTGCATTACACATGTTTCTAAAAATTTGCTGCCCTTATCGTATATTTTTTTTTTGGCGCTCTAAGTAAGGGCTTTACCAGCTTTGGCCCAGGGCCGGCCCTGGTTACAACGGTAAAGATCAATGAGGTGATTGTGGGATCAACTTGTTGTCTTGCTCTCCAAGTTATCTACAATAGTATACTGCACCATGCGTTGGCTAATCTAGTGGATGTTTCTTGGGAGGAAGGTGAGACTGCTCCCTAACAGTTGGGTGGGTTCAAGGGTTGCTTGTTCTGAACCTCTCCAACAATCAGCTCGAGGTTGCTTCTTATTCAATACTAAAATCACAATTTGCTAGATTTTTGCTCATTTGATCCACGCTCCCTAATTAATAACTGAGCTGATCTAGCTATGTTCTCTTTAATGTAAAATGATGGGTCGTAATCTGTTACTAGCTTGTCTAGATGTTAAGAAGAAGCAGTTTAGTTTAGGATTTAATAATCTTTAGTTTAGCGTAAAGTTGAATCTATTGGACAATATACAATGGTTGATGTGCAATATGCACTATATCACCCTTTTTTCTGATGTGATTCAAACAGATTATATATCAATGATGTGCAGCGTGATATGATTCAAAGAGATTTTGATATGACAACAATGAGTGCACAACACCAACTGTTTTTTTTTCTTCTCCATTTCCTTAGACATCCAAGTGAGACACATCCTCGTATGGTGATATGTACTCTTGCTCTAACCAACCCTACTCCTCTCTCCCATCTACTTTGTTTGGTGATATGTACTCTTGCTCTAATTCATGTTTTATATTTTTTGTTTTACTTTTAAAATTACGAAGAACTGGTGATGAAAAAGGATGGAACTAGTAAGGAACGTATAAGAAAAAAAGAACTTATAAAGTTGCATCAAAAAAGAAAACTAACAAATGTGTTCAAAGACATTTGACTCTCAATGTGATTCGGGAAAGCATGTAGCTCATGCATATCTCCGTTGAGCCAAGATTCGTCGTCTGCGAATGCTTTAAACTCTAATCTTCTACAACTGTTTCGCACCAGATCAAAAAACAAAATATAAAACGATTTATGAAATCTGATTGGTAGAAAAATAAACTCACCAGCATGAGTGAAACCTTTTAGTCTGAAATTTTCTCTCAAACTCATTAAATTGATCAAAAGGTGAAAGAGAGCCTTGAATCGACCACTTGTGTTTCTCTGCATCCTCCAAAATCCACAATTCTCTATTTTTCCCAGTACAAGCTAACCTCCCCTCATTAGTTATCAGCATATCCTTATGAATACCCGATGGTAGTTGTATCATATCAAATGTTTCAGATCTGACATTAAAACTCATTATGACCCAAACACGAGTGTGATAAACACAGGCTATATAATATATAACCCCCTTGATGCATCGCCCTTAAGTATGGATGAAAGAACGATGCTTATGGATAGTTTTGACACTTCTCCATGATTCTTGAGCTGATCCCAATGTTAACACTTGAAACACATCGCAAGATCTACTGAAAGACATGCCACTACTTTGTGTTTACCTTGGACTGGATCGTATCCTAATAAAACTGTTAAATCATCCCAGCTCTTTCTAGATTTGGGTAAGGTTAAAAACTGTCTCTTGCTAGGGTTCCAAATTTCGAGCGTCTCTAATTCTTGAAAACAGATCAAGCCCTGGACAGATTCCGTAAAAGGGAAGCGAGTATATCCTCTTGGGAATTTCATATGAGATCAATCAATAGGCTGGGAAGAAGAGAAAGACTTGTTTGAGTTCTGATGAAGAGTATGTGTATGTTGCGAAATCGAGGAGACAATAAACTCGTCTTTTTTTCTGAGGCAGATTAGAAGACTCGGACGTGGGGACCGAGTTTTGAACGACTTGATGAAATATGGATCGGTGGTGATTGAGGACCAAAGCTTCGACACGCAACGAAACCTTGCAACTGTATTAAGAGAAAGACGTTGAAACAGAATCATCTTCCTTAATTCTGTAAAATGCTGTACAGGGTTCATATATATACATTGGTTCAAGCTAAAGGAATCTTTAACCAGTAATCTAATTTAACTAAACCATTAGTTAACCGGTCTCTATATCCTAATACACCCCCCTCAAGCCTCTGAAATCAAAACCGGGATAGGAGCAGAGTCTGGATCATCTGGTTCCAAAACAGGATTTGTATCTGGATGGAAGAGGCTTGATATGGACATCCGTCGAAGAAGATTGTGAAACGGACCTGGTTGGAGTGCCTTAGTCAATATATCAGCATGCTGATTCGAACTAGAAACATGGAACAACTTCATGAACCCATTTTTGACTTGGTCTCTCACTGTATGGCAATCAATGTCTATGCGTTTTGTCCTCTCATGGAAGACAGGGTTAGAGGCAATATGCATTGCATATTTATTATCAGAAAAGAGCTTTGCAGGAGTATGTACCGTGACCTTTAAGTCAGTGAGAAGCTGATTCAACCAAAGTAGTTCACAAGTAGCCAAGGCCATGCTTCGATATTCAGCTTCAGTACTGCTTCGGCTTACGGTCTGTTGTTTCTTTAATTTCCAGTTAATCAAAGACTTTCCCAGATAGATGCAAAAACCTGATATAGACCGTCTAGAGTCTGGACAAGTTGCCCAATCTGCGTCTGTAAAAGCATTCAAGCAAATCTCTGAGTTAGCAGCATAGAACAGACTTTGTCCAGGATTGGATTGGAGATAGCGAAGGACACGATGAGCAGCTTGAAGGTGAATATCCGTTGGACAGGAGAAAAACTGACTCAAGTTGTTTACTGCATATGTAATATCAGGTCGAGTAATCGTCAGATAGAGAAGCCTTCCAATCAGTTCTCGATATGAGGTAACATTGGTGAGAGGCGTTCCTGTGTCTTTGCTCAGTTTCACGGTAGGATCCATATGTACCGAACAGGGATTCCAAGCTAACATTCCCGTTGCAGCCAATATATCCAAGCAGTATTTCATTTGACAAATAGAAATCCCTTAAGCATTACGGGCAATCTCCAAACCCAAGAAAAATTTTGGAACTCCCATGTCTTTGATCTTGAATGCAGAGTGGAGAGCATCTTTAAGTGCTTGAAGTTCAATATCACTATTCGAGACAATAAAGATGTCGTCAACATAGACTAAGAGGGCAATGCAGGTCGTACCAGTTGCTTTAACAAACAAGGTATTGTCACCAGGTGATTGAGTGAAACCAGCTTTGAGAACAACATCAGAGAAGCAGTGGTACCATTGGCGTGAAGCCTGCTTTAGACCATATAAAGATTTGTGTAGTTTACACACTGGATTAGGAGGGAGATCACCTGATGAAGGAGTATAGCCTTGTGGTAAACTCATGTATATCTCCTCATCCAAGTCGCCATGCAAGAAGGCGTTTGTAACATCCATCTGTGTAAGAGTCCAGCCAAAACAAGAAGCTAAACCAAGCACGAGTTTAACACTAGCAAGCTTAGCAACCGGAGAAAAGGTTTCAATATATTCCATTCCTTCTTGCTGTGTATAACCCTTGGCAACTAACCTTGCCTTATATCTCTCAATAGAACCATCGGGGTTATACTTAATAGTAAACACCCATTTGCATCCGATGACATGCTTTCCTTCAGGCAATGTCACAACACTCCATGTTCCAAAATCCTCAAGAGCAACGGTCTCTACATTCATAGCATTATTCCAAAAAGGATTTGCAATGGCCTCCTTAAAAGATTTAGGCTCTGTCTCAACCGTAATGGAAAGAGTGTAGGACTGGTATGAGGGATGTAATTTGGAATAGTCAAGAACATAAGAGATAGAAAAAGGGATATGTGAAGTAATAGGAGTAGAAATTTGAGTAAGGGCACAATGATAATTGGACAAATAGCTGGGGGCCTTACATTGTCGTTTTGGCCGAGCTACAAGTAGTGCCACCTCCTCTGTACCAGGTGTTACAGTCTCCTGTGTTAAAGGTGGGACACTAGAGTGTGATGCAGATGATGTGGATGCATCAGAAATGATAGATGGAGATGCAACAATGGTATGAGATGGTGATGAAGAAGTGTGTGAAACAGGCAATGATGTATCTAATGCTACGGGAATAGAAACAAGTAATATAGTTTTAGAAAACAAACTATCGACAGGCAAACTTGGAGAACTAGTTTTAAATGGAAAGGTTGTTTCATGGAAGACAACATTTCTAGACACAAAAGTCTGATTACTATCAAGATCCAAAACCTTATACCCTTTATAACCAGATGACTAACCCAGAAAAACACATGGAATAGCTCTAGGTGTAAACTTGGTCCTATCTTTAGGGTAAGTGGACACATAACATAGACATCCAAACGTCCTCAAGAAAGAATAGGCAGGAGCCTTTTTAAACAGGACTTCATAAGGAGATAATTTCTGCAATAACAAAGATGGTGTCCTACTGATTAAGAACACAGCAGTAAGAACACAATCTGACCAGTAAATCAAAGGTACATTCGACTGAAACATCAAAGCCCGAGCAACATTTAACAGATGTTGATGTTTTCTTTCAACTACTGATTTTTGTTGTGGGGTATATGCACAAGAGAACTGATGAATCATTCCATGTTCTTGAACCAATTTGGTAAATGCTAATTCAGGTGCATTGTCACTGCGAATAGCTTTAACAACAGAATTGAATTGAGTTAGAACATGCTTAAGAAAGGCAGGAAAAACAGTTGCAACATCACTTTTATTTCTCAACATGTATAACCATGTAACACGAGTACAATTATCTACAATGGTGAAAAAATATTTGTATCCCTCTACAGACTTGATTGCAAATGGACCCCAAGTATCTAAGTGAACAAGCTCAAATGGTGCAGAAGAGAAGCTATTACTAGATACATAAGGTAAGGCTTTCTGTTTAGCTAAAGGACAGACTTCACAATGAGACTGACTCGACTTGGACATAGGCAAGATACCAGGAATGTGTTGTAACTTGGCAGAAGAAGGATGTCCTAGGCGTTGATGCCAGAGATGTCCATCCACCAAGGATCCACAAAATGATGAAGAAGTAAGAACTCCAGTTTCCAAAATGTAAAGATTGTGAATAAGTGATCCTTTACCAATCGTCAAGCCCAGAATATGGTCCTGAAGAAAACAAGATTCATGATAAATATGAGCAGAACGTTGTCGATGTTGTAACAAGGAACTAACACTAATGAGGTTGAACTTAAATGCAGAGACATGTAAAACATTATGCAAAACGAGATGTTTGGTTATATGCACTGTGCCTGTATTAGTAATAGGTACTCTAGTGCCATCAGGGAATGAGACTGTAACACCTGTTACAGGAAAAGTTTCACTAAACATAGCTAGATCAGAACAGACATGACTAGTTGCCCCAGTATCAATAATCCAAGAACCATTAGGGAGGACTGAATATAAAGAGGTGAGACAATGGTGTTGAAAGGTGAGAGAATGATTTTCAAAGCGAAGATTTGTGGAAGGGAAATCAATCGAGACATTACCCGATGTAGATGTAGGAGCCATATGACCATTTGCTGTGATCATCGCAAAAGAAGAAGACGGTTGCTCTGAAAGATGCACGTGAGCATTGAGCTGAGCAATCAAGGACTGAACCTGAACCTGACTGAAATGACTAAGATCGACACTCTTAGTAGTCATAGTCGGTGGAGCTTGTGATGTGGATACAGCATTAACCACAATATTAGGCTTTGGAAATGAAGTAGCTTGAGAGTATTGTGGATTAAACGGTGGTCGAGGTCCTTGTTGCATCTGACCCCGAGGTTGAAACATTCCTTCAGAAGATCCTTGTGGTTGCTTTTGAGCAAATTTGTGACCAGGAGGATAGCCATTCAACTTATAACACTTTTGAATAGTATGTCCAAGACGACCACAATGAGTACACATCGGCTTCTGTTGAGGTCGCTGATTGTTGTAAGTAGTGGCATAAGCTGCATTCTCATCAGGACCAGTGTAATAACCAGGGTTGTAGCCTTCATTGTAAAGCGTTCCTGGAGCAGGTCCACTAGCTTGAAACGCAACATTATCCACTCTCGGAGATGGCTTAATATTCTTCTGGCGTTCATCTTGTGTAATCATGTTGAACACATCCTCAATAGAAGGTATAGGCTTCAAAACCAAAATATGCCTTCGAGTAGGTTCATAGCCTTCGTTCAATCCCATGAGGAATTTGGTAACACGACTCCTCTGCTGGAGCTTTTCCCACAAAGATGTAGCATTGCATTCACATTTTCCACAAGTGCATAAGGGCAACTCCACATAATTCCTATATCCTTCTCATAGAGTAACAAGTTCTGTGTAATATGTGCTAACATCCATAGATCCCTGTTGAATCGAGCTCAAACGCTGTTCTATCTCATAAACACGCGGAGCATTATTTTGTTTAAATCGGCACAACAAATTGTTCCAAATTGATTCAGCAGTAGACATAAACAACAAACTCTGGCGTATTTTCTTTGACACATAATTCATCAACCATGTAGCTACCATATCATTACACCTAGACCAAGATCCAGCATCACGATGATCATCCGGAGGTTTAGGAATCGTACCGTCGATAAATCCGAGTTTGTTGCGAACGTTGAGTGCCATTCTAACAGATCTGCGCCAAGAATGAAATTCAGATCCTGAGCTGAGACGATCGGAGACAAGTACCAAACCGGCATGATCAGATGCGTGGAGGAAGTAAGGATTCTCATATTGATCGAGAGGTTGTTGTTGAGAACGAGTATTCGTAGAGCTATCAGCATTAATCGATCCCATTTCAGATGATGAAATTGAAATCGACGAAGAAAAATCAAGCCGAGATATGTATCAAAGGAAGAGACGGCAAAGATTTAGGTCAAATAAGGGATGAAGATCGGGAATAAAAGAAGAAAAGAAAGATATGAAAGGAGCTCAATAATAGTGATCAAGAATCAAGAGACTAAATCGAGAATCAGCTGAGAAATTGAAGCACTCATAGCCGATAATCGAAGCTCAAAGATGTGAAGAAATCACCAGAAAAGCTCGAAGGGGAAACAATGGCGGAAAATCGTCACTGCTCTGATACCATATTAAGAGAAAGACGTTGAAACAGAATCATCTTCCTTAATTCTGTAAAATGCTGTACAGGGTTCCTATATATACATTGGTTCAAGCTAAAGGAAACTTTAACCAGTAATCTAATTTAACTAAACCATTAGTTAACCGGTCTCTATATCCTAATAAACTGATTTCTCAGGCAGCCTTAAGAGTATAATATATAACCCCCTTGATGCATCGCCCTGAATCATAAAAATGATGATTATAGTTAGTTCTGACCGTTCTCCATGATTCTTGAGCGGATCCCAGAGTTAAAACTCGGCACACATCACAATCTTTATCATCGGAAAGGCACACTACTTTGTGTTTATCATTAATGGGATCGTATCCTAATAAGACTGTTAAATCATCCCAGCTCTTTCTAGGTTTGGGTAAGGTTAAAAACTGTCTCTTGCTAGGGTTCCAAATTAGGAGCGTCTCTGATTCTTGAAAACAGATCAAGCCCTGGACAGATGCCGTAGGACGTAAGCGACTGTATTTTCCTGGGAATTTCACATGATGACGATCAATAGGATGAGAAGAAGAGTAAGAAGACCTGTTCGAAATACGATTATATTGTGGAATCGAGGAGACAAAGAACCCGTCTTCTTTTCTGCAGCAGAGTAGAAGACTCATCTTTGGGGACCGAGTTTCGAACAAGTTGATGAAATATGGTTCGGTGGTGATTGATGATCAAAGCTTTGACACGCAACGAAACTTAGCAACTGATTTCTCAGGCAGACGTAAGAGTATCTCTGACGTTAGATCGATATGGAAAGACGAGACTGATTTGGATTGTCTTCTTCTTCGGTAGTTTTTTCTCTTCTTCTTTTCTTGTTGCTCCATCTTTGGTCAAAACCCTAGTTTGTTCAGGCTGCTTCCCTATCGGCTTTTTCTTAACCATTAATTTTATGTTTATCAAATAATTTTGTTTTTTACTTATTGTTAATTAGTTTTTTTGTTTTAAATCTTCCTAAGAATGTATTTCTTCTAATCTACATAATTCTTTTTTTTTTAAAAAGGGCTTCGTCAGCCGGTTTAATTATTTTTTAGTTTTGCTTTTGAAAAAAAAAATAATTCATTAGGTTTAATACTATGAAAATTATTGAAGGAAATAGAGGAGAGGCTGGTGAGGATATATGAGTCCGCCGAGAGGAATACGTGGCAGATGAGGAGACCGTTAATGAGGTGGTCCACTTTTCAATCACCAACTCATAACTTATTCTAGCAAATTTTCACTAAAATATAAAAAATACTACTTCATTTTTTCCGTCATGCAAAATTTAAACAATTTAAATTGTGATTCTATTCAACTAGTTCTCTACATTTATTAAATGCAATAATGAATTCTCATCAAAGATATCATTCAGGGTAGACGGTGTTTGGTATAAGAGATGTTTAAATGGTGGAGTGTTTTAGATTATCTAAAAAATCTAGAGGATGCAAGATATTATGCAAAACTGGAAGAGAGAGAGTGGACATGTTGATGTCCGCAATTTTCAGTCACTTTTCCTTGCCAAATGCAGTAGCATTTTCCTGATCTAATGCTTCAATGAAAAAATTAACTCAATGTTAAGTCCAGATAAAACAGAGCTAGTGTGTTCCTTCATCTAAATCAAAATCATTCAAATTCCTCTGGGGTACTTTGTTTCAAATGTGATTACCTACCACCTAGTCTAGTCCTAAATCACAAATGAACATGTCACTAAGAACAGTCTAAAAGCACACAATCAAGTATCATTGATTCATGTTCACCATTCCATTTTAAAACGTATTTTGTTTTGAAAACTGTTTTTGAAAAAATTTAAAGAAAATGCAAAAAGTGTAGATAATGCAAGATTTATGAAAGAAAAATGGTTTTCACAGTTTGTTTTTTGATATAATTGGCCAAATGGGTAGTTTTAAGTTTTTAACTGGCCAAAAGGATGTGTTTTGAAAAAGTGAATGTGTTTGGGTAGTTTTTCTGTGTCAGTAACTAAACTATCATTTACAAATTTCTCTTATTATATTTTGATGCCATTATGATTATTTAAAAAGAATTTTAGAACTTAATTTGACCCAGAAAACTAATTCGAATTTGACAAACACATTCGAACCCTTTACTTCGCAACCGCCACTGTCTCCCATCACCGAACAAAACCACAGTGTTCATCCTCATTTCCTAGATATCTCTAGACCATTAATTCCAATGACTTCGAAAAGAAAACAATCATCTAATTCGAAGCGGACTCCAAAGCGATTGAAGAAATCATAAGAACAAAATGTGTCCGATCTTCGAAGATCGGCTCGCAACACTAAGCCGCAGGGACAAGAGTTGCCTGATAAGCCATTATATCACGGTTCTGAGTTTTTTTTATTTGTTATTAATTTGATATTATATTTCGTTCATCCGAATTAGGGTTTTAGGTAGTTTTGGTGTTCACCGCACTGAATTAGGACTTAGGTATTTTTGAAATAAGATCATTATGGTTCTGGGTTTAAATTTTGGTTTCTCGTTATCAAATTGTTTCAAATTGATATATTTCATAATTTTCTATGTGTCGTTGTATCTTATGCAGAGTTGAGTTCATCAAGCTCTGATTCAGACTCCGAAATTTCTGTAAAACTGCTTTCTTGACTGTTCGCCCCACGTTGCTATCCGATTGGTGCAATATTAAACATTTATTCGAAGACTCATCTTCTCTGTTCCATTCGTTCTGCTTTGGAAGGTACCGAAGTATTTGACATTATTGTCAAATCCCAGTTCGGGAGATTGTTCGAGTTCGCTGTTGCAAGATGCACTAACTCTGCCAAATTGATACATGCTCTACTATGTCGCATGCTTGTAACAAAAAAAAAACACGAGATGTGGTTTGTATTTGGTGGTAAACCTCTGCGCTTTTCTCTTCGGGAGTTTCATATCATCACTGGACTTACCTGCAGTCAAATTGCATCAGAATCCGAGATAGAAGAGCATATGAATCTTGACTCTATATCTATGTGGAATAGACTTTTCAGAGCTGACAATCTAAACATCGATGTGCCGCAAGTGACTGTGATGTTGCAAGACCCGAATCTTCCGGACTGGAAGAAGCTGCCCCTTGTCCAGAAAAACACCTCAAAATCACCCACGAATATGTCGAAATGCTGAACGACATCAACTTCTTTCTTACTTATCCGTGGGGGCAGGGAATCATTTCTCCAGACATATGCTAGGTTAGGTCCTCCTACTTCAACTGCTGAGGTTCCACTAGGAGATTCAATTAAAGAGCTTTGATTAGGTTGATGCAGCAGAATTCCGCATATTATGGATTTCCTCTCCCTCTTCAACTGTTAGCTTTTAAAACAATTCCGCTGTTGTTGTCTAAGATTCTATCGTCAGATATTTATACCAATTTCTTCGAATATACTGGTGGCAAGCTCACACAATTGATTCTTCATTACGAAGATATTATTGAAACTGAAACAGACCCAGAGGTACCCATTTCACATGTTAGTCTTACTACTTTTTTTTTGTTTTGTTCAAATTTCTTTTTAAAACAATGTTGTTTTTTTTTCAGCTATCTGTGCAATCCATCCTCTATTACCCTCTAGATTTGAGTCATATGGATTTTAGTTGGGAGGATGAGGTTGAAGACGAGAAGGTTGAGTATTTAGAGAGTCTTATATGCGGGGGATACAAATTTGAAGCATCTGATTTCTCTGGTGGTGATGCTTCTATTCTCCTGTTGCCATCTATTCAAAAACCTATCAAGGAAGAAGGCATCATAAAAGAAGAAGCACAGATCAATAAATAATCGGTCAAGAAAGAGGTCAACGTAAAGAAAGAAGTACGGGGCAAGAAACTCGGCCAGTGCCTCGGCAGCCTTAAAGATCACGCAAACTAGTATCCAAGAAGGAGGCAATACCAAATGAACCTCCCACTTCTGAGGATAGTGTATGTGGACCAATTTTCAATGAAATCAAGGCATTTGTGGTTCAGGCTATTAACAATCTTAAGAAAGACATTTTTTCGAAGTTAGATTTGATGAATGGTGTTCAGGCTGCTTCAACGAGGTCTAAGGAAACTGATGATCTTAAAGAAACTGTTGTACCAAGCAAAGAAGAAGAGGTACTTATGAGTGCTAAGTTAGAGGGAAAGAACAAGATTGAAGATGCATCTCATACGACATTTGATGATACCAATGATGGGAGTTAAAAGGCCAAGCTTGAAGATGTATCTCATACAGCATTTGATGATACTAATGTTGGTATTCAAGTGACCAAGCGTTAAGATGCATATTTTACAGCATTTGATGATACCAATGTTGGGAGTCAAGAGACCAAGCTTCAAGATGTATCTCATACAGCATTTGATGATACAAATGTTGGGATTCAAGAGTCCAAGCTTCAAGATGCATCTCATACAACATCTGATGATACAAATGTTGGGAGTGATAATATTGACATTGGATGGGCGACTATGCTGGTGTTCACGATGTTATCACCGACATAAACAGTTCAGATGTAAGTCTTATTTAAACACGCATTCACCTCAGAATTGGTGTTCACTATTTCAATTGTTTAATAAGAATTCCATTTGCAGCTCCATCTTGCGGTTGATTTACCTTCACTATTAAAATTGCAGGTCACTCCAATACTTGATAAGTCACTGTCGGTTAGTATTCCCTACCTTTAACAGAGTTTTCAAGAAAGTGTGTATTCATGATTTTGGTATATTGTTGTCTAACTTTTATCTTTTACTTAAGGATTTCGACCCAAAATCAGCAATTGTACTCCATTCAATGGCATGGCCACTATCAGCCAGCCCTCATACACCTCATGTCACACCCCGATATCACGGAAAACGTGTTCCCCAACGATCTGAGCTGCTTGGTGGTCAGTACACCATTGACCCTCGTGTTAAAGCCTTGTTCGCAAGCCGTAAGAAGAAACCTGGATATGCACCAATTCTACCATTAAATAAGAATGAGTTTGATGGTTTTTTCCGAAATCATATCAAAAGATCCAGATCAGTGAGTTCCTTTTCCATGCGCTTCTCTTATATCTGATCGTTTTACTATACTTTCCTCTCATCTATTGTTCTCCTGCAGGGAATACACAATTGTTACTGGCCACAACGTCACCAACAAGTTCTTTCTTACTATTGCCGGAAAACAAAAATGGATTTCGACTGACGTACGTCTTTTATCCTTATAATTTCATACTTTAATGTTCTTCTATATTTGTTTTATCTAAATTTTAACGATCTATGTTATTTCTATTACACGTCTCACAGCATATGCAGGTTATTATGTCTATGCTCTGGAGGCGTAGAGGTGAGTTTTATCTGAAAGACAGGGCGACACTTATTAATCCATGATTTACTTCTCTTATCATCTCAAAGTACTCTGGTTTTAAAGCCGCTAAGGACAAAGCTAGTTTTCCGTGGGGCACTGGTCTGAAGAATTATGTATTGGGGAAATCAACTAGTAAATCTCTTATGTCTGAGTTTCTGAAAAATATTGACATCGTGTACACCCCAATGAATTGGTTGAACAAACATTGGGTGGGTTTGGTAATAAACCTGAGGGTTGGTTTGATAGAGATATTGGATCCATACACCTCACTATACGACGACAACGAAGTTACAGGACTCATGGCACCTGTTCTAGAGTCCTTTCCATGGCATCTGAAAAGCTTCCTGCCGGTGAAAAACTGCTTCTATAATCCAGACCTCACCATATACATGGTTTCGAACCAAAGGTATATACCAGAATGAAGGACAAGCGATTGTGGACCGGTAACTGCTACGTTTCTAGAGATCCATGCTGGTGGTTATGGTATTGAAGAAATGTCTGAATTGATAGACATCGATGTTAATCAGT